AATTTCTTGGAGGCATTACTTCCTCTATCATTCATTCTTCCTAAAGAAAGTCCTCAAGTCTAGAAGAGGAAGAAGCAGAAATAGGGCATCATCAGTATGGCCAGGTCAGGGCATTCATCCTGGCAATCTACCACTCTATCTAACAATGGATCCTTGCAATGAACCTAATGCTTTCTGAGAAAATCACCGAATCCCAGCCACCACCCCTCCACCACAGCCAAGAATCTTCCCATATTTGGAGAATTTACTTCATATGCCTTCAGGTATCATCTTTACCGGCAGAATCTGTTATAATAACAGATCTGCAGACCCTTCCTGTTGAGCAGCACAAAGGCTACTTCCTGTGTGTCACTCAGTTCAATACGGGCATTTAAACTTCTTCTTTTAGGTGCTTAGAAGTTTTAGGTGCTTAGTAGAAGTTTGCAAAAAGAATAACCCTTTGAGATACTTTTGTAATGCTTCTTCTCAGTTGAGGAGAGACTTGGGGATGGGGGAGGTTGGTGAATTCCATTTGGGTCACCCAGTATCTCAATGGCTTTCCTGCTATGACCACATTAAATTTAATATGAAGATAAGTTATTAACAACTTCATGTAAAAAAATTAAAAATGTCACATATCTCAATGAGGACTGTGACACACTTCAAAATACTACATTAAGATCAAAATTTAAGTCTGTAGACAGTGTGTTTCTTTACTTTAGGTGGTACTTTCTTCTGCATTTTAGGAGCAAGATCCAAATCCCAGAGAACTATATATTGGAAGGGCACATGTATGGCTCCCTTAGCTGAAAGAATTGTAATGCATGTGTTTTAGTGACAAGGAAGGAAAGGAATTATCCATATAGATTTGCCCTTTATGTGTCAGAGTATTCAAAAAGTTAGGAGCAGAGGAAGCAGACGTTGAAATGACGGGCAGAATTAAACCTTCTGTCTGCCTCCCATCTCTTCTGAGTGCCCAAAAGGGAGAACATTTGGGTGCTGCGATCCAAAGGACATCCCCCATAGATACAGGGCTGCCAGGCAGAGAGAATGCCACACGAGCATCACAGACACATAGCAACACAGGGGGAGGATACTGCATTCATCTCCCTGCCAGAAGCTTAACATTTATGGAAGGAGAAAGATACACATTAGCCAAGTGGTACAACTGTTCGTAGAGAGTGGCAGTGATCACAAGTCGTTAGGAGTAGCCAGTGGAGTTCCTGGAAGAGAAGAGATGGAATTTACAAAAATCTCCAAATGAAAGATAGGGCTGTAAGGTGCCAGGGGGGCGTTTTCCAGGGCCAGTGCAAGCCGACATCCAGGCTCCGGCAAGTTCTACAAGGTCAGGGCTCCTGGGTGGTACTGAGATGCTTAGGGCTGGGGAATGGGAAATATGAAACGAAGACCCAGTTCCAGACTACAGGTGATAGCAAGTCACTGAAGTTATAAAGGTGGTGTATTAGAAAAGTTCATAGCATGAATGAATCAGATATATGGAAGTGAGATCCCCTGGCTAGGTGGCTAGAGGTTCAGCACCTACCCATAAAGATGAAAACAGGTCAATAAGAGGACTAGCCAGGAAGAATAGAGGTACTGGCAAGCAAGAATGCAAAGAGTGGTAATTGACAGGCCATGGAAACAGAGAAAAGGAAGGGCCGAAGGAGCACACAGTGGCTCAGGCTGTGAGATTTGAAGAATTAGGGCACCTGAGTAATGTCAAGAAGCCAAAGTGATCCCCTCCTCCGCCTGCCCCCAAGAATCTAGTGTGTAGTGGGAGCTCAGCCTGAGGGCAGAGCTGTACCTCCCTGTCCCTCATGAAATCTCTGGCAAGATGTGAGGGGAGTGTGGGGACTGAGGGCAGGAAGGACAGTTGAGCCCTGAGGAACAGCTCGCATGGGACTGACAAGGAAGGGAGATGGTGCCCCCAGAGATTGAAGCATGGAGGAAAGCAGCAGTGTAATGCAGCATCACAAGGCTGGTAAGACCAAAGGCAAAAGGAATGAGACTGATAACAGGCCACAGAATGTGGCCCCTAGAATCTGGAGAAAGAAACTTCTACATAGCGCCAGAAGCCAGAAGCCAGATAGCAGGGAAGTGATCAAGGAGAAAGCAGACAGCAAAGCAAGAGGGCAGTAGATCAGGTCAGTTCAATATCCTCCACTTAGACTAGGAATGTGGGAGATGGGGAGGAACACCGACTGGCTTAATGAATGGCCTTAATGCAGTTCATCTGGCAATGGCAAAATATAACAGGGAAAGGATTAAATCTGGCTAGAGATGACTGGGCAGAGTCTTCAGATAAGATGGAATTAACAGTCCAGTCTGAAGGAACAGGAAAGGGCTTGGGCAGTGAAGGATGGGGTAGACAGACATTCCAGACAGAGAAGTGAAGGCAAGAAAAGCTGGAGCCAGAGGCAGTGATATCACTAATGAATGTCTTTTTTTTTTTTTTTAAGACATGGGAATTTTACACAAACAGATTAAAAAGCCAGAACACTTCCGGTAAGGATATACTGAAGAAATTCCCAAAAAGGCCTATGAGGAGTTGGGGCAGCCAGAGCAGAGCATGCGTAAAAGGGTGAGCTTTCAAGTCATTTCAAGAATGACCAAGTAGCACAGGGAGGAGGGCGTGGCCCGTGCAGAGGGAGTGGGGTTGAGAGTAACGCAGAGCTCTTGGCTCACACGCAAAGTCCACGGTGCAGGGTATTTTTAAATGAGGCTGTGAAGATAGGGAGGAGTGGAAGGAAATGGTTTATTGGGTGGGAAATCTTAAAGGTTAGATGAGTCACATGACAGTGACAGGAATCTTGGAGGGAGCTGGCTTAGGAGAAAAGAGCTAGAGGCAAGAGCAGGATTGAGGAGCGGAAAGGAGGCCCAGCTGCCCAGCAAAGGGTGACATCTGAGTGGAACAGGGGACTCCATCACACAGATGCCAGCAACAGCAGCGCCGGCCAAACTCCCTCCTGTGTCTCCCAACTTGTACATTCCTCTACTACACACATGCTTTTGTTCCTCTTCTTTTTTGGTGCCTGTCTTGGGGCTTAAACTCAGGGCTTGAGCACTATCCCTAAGGATTTTTACTCAAGGTAATACTCTACCACTTGCCAAGTCTCAGTTTTCTGGTTTGAGTCCCCTTCAAGAGCTCCAAACAGATACGTTCTAAAAATAATGGTTGGTTAAAGGTAATTGAAAGTGGAGAAACCTTGGTATAAAATATCTTCAAAAGTAAGAGTTTATGGATGTCAGTCAAGGATGCTTATTTATTCTGTATAAGCTCATGATTTATACAAGTTAATTTAAAAACATATAGCACCTACATGCTGACATATGCATAAAATATATCTGAAAAAAATATATAACTGGAAATAGCAGCTGCTTCCAAGGAGGAGAATTTGATAGGTGGTCAAAGAATTAAGATTTACTTTTCCATATATTTAAATTTTCTATCGCATTTCCCATTGCTTATCAGGAAATAACTATCAAAAATACAGTGGCATAGTGTTTATACATACTTTGTACGATCACAGCCCCCATCCCCCACCAGCTGCCTTGACATCACAATTCCTAATGGTAAGATCACTTTTATAGGGTTGGTGACATTAATTGAAAAACTGGTTGAAGATTTAACTCCCAGACACCAGATATGAAACCCAACAAAGCAAGTGTTACATGAAAGCAAAATGCAAATTGGGAAGTAAGTCCTAATGCCTCCATACACATCACCCTTCATTATATGTTTGGTACAAGTTTTTCTGATTTCAACATCTCAGTGACATTGTAAGAAAAGAGAGAGACTGCCAAAGCAGGTAAATTCTGGGTTAAGGTCCTGGTAGTAAAAGAGTAATTTGAAATTTTGAAAAACCGAGGAATGTTTGCCATCCATGGAATTTATTCCAAATTACTCTTTCTCTATTAATTTATCTATTTAGCCAGTACTGGGGCTTGAACTCAGGGCCTGGGTGCTATCCCTTAGTGTTTTCACTCAAGGCTAGCACTCTACCATTTGAACCACACCTGCACTCCTAGCTTTTTTGGTAGGTAGATATAAGAGCCATATGGCTTTTCTTCCCCGGCTAGCTTCAAACCATGATCCTCAGTTCTCAGCCTCCTGAGGAGATAGGCTGAGGCAGGAGCCACACTGGTGTCTGCTCTGCCTTTTAAATCCATTCTGTACCCTTCCTCTCTGTATGCACCTTCTCTTAGTTGTAAGTAATTCCCAAAGTGTGAATATTTGCTCTTAGTTCCTGGTACAGTTTTTCTACTTTCTTTAGCGGTTTTCTCACTACTTTTTGTGTGTGATGAAGTAGATTTCTAGTCTCTCTTCACTAAGCAGCTCTCTGTGTTTAGGTTGCACGATAAAATACATAGATAGTAATCTGAAGCTAGAGCTAGATTTGATGATCTACCTGGATTCCTTCCATGTAAGATTTCTAAACATCACCTAGATCTGTTCAATTTATTATTTTCATTTTCTTAACCAAACAAAAGCTCTTGAATCTATTTTAACGCAATGTGAGATTTGAACCTAGGGCCTCGTGCATATAACACGAACATCCTTGCAGACCTCCTTAGGATTTTTTTCAGCAGCAATTCTATAGCTCACCATTTTGCATTAAATCTTGGCTCTTTTGCTGTTATTTCATACTATGTATTTAAGAACTCATTGAAACCATCAGTTCTTCCTTTGAAATGCTTTCTGTTTTCAGGTCTTTCTCGGTTTCTCCTGTCCTCTCCCTAGACAAAGATGTCACTTCTTGCATATCCTAATACCAGTGCCCTGCAAATAGTCTCTCTGCCCTCAGGCACCTGCTTGCTGCTCATCAACAAGAATCCTAGCTTGCCTGGGAGTCAACTAGCCTTCGCCCTTCTCTACCTCCCAAAGCTAATTTTACCTTCAAAATATTTCTCACATCCCTTGCCTTCTCATAAGCTATTCCTAGTGGTGATGGGAGGGAAAAAAACACAAAACACTGAAAGTTGTGCTGAACCCCTGTGTACCTATTCTGACCCCAAAGTAAAGCACAGATGGTGACATTTACAAGATTGTTTTTGAACACAATCTAATATGAACCAGGATAATGGCAAAAGAGCACAACTACCACATTCCTAGTGTCTATTTCCCAAGCCATGTTATAAAATTATAAAATCATTTTTGAGATTGATTTTACTTTTCACTTGTGGAGAAGGGCACCATCTACAGCAGGGATAAGTTTCCATAGGAACTAAATTCATTTCAAAAGGTTGGACATCGAGGCTTAAAAAAAAGTGTTCAAATAACATAACAATATTAAGGCCTCACATCCTCAAAACTAAGAGCATTATAAAATATTAACCTTTCATTCTCCCAATGCCCCTGGAAATAGGAAGGCAGGCTCTTTGGATTTGAGGAATAAGTGTTGAGGGAAACTGGGTAGAGAATAAAAACAAACTCAGGAGATGAAATGCTAATTAACAATGTTTCATTTCTATGATTAATCACAATTAATCACATACAGTAACACCATTGGCTACTTCTTGGCAGTACACTATGAAATCAAGTAGTTACTTGATACTCTCTAAGTCAAATATAAAAATTAGAAAAAAAATGTCTTCAAAGCATTTTGTAGCTAAGAAAAGTGAAACCTTCACATGGGTACTTAAGCAACCGAACTAACGACATGTGTTCTTGTGGAACATCACACAATAACTGAATTTTAAACAACCTAATATGCTTCTTTCTCTGTTCTGATTAACTGAAATATTCGGTACTCATGTCAGAAGACAGCTTTGAATTCTAACACATCATATAATCTCATCCCCTTGTGTTAGCGAAATAGATTTAAGCATTTTTCAGAAGACAGGCAAAATTTAGCAAATTGGCTTAACATTTTAGGCTGCTGCTGAGTCTCAAAATGAACAAGACCAAATATAAAGCATAGAAAACAGCAATCTACTATACAAATTCTCCGAATGATTCTGATCAGCCTCATGCTTGAGTGTTTCAGGGGTGGGATCTCAGTGATTTCCACCTAAAGGCATAATGATGTATTACTGCAGGACCAAACAATGCATTTCTCAATTCATGTCTGGATTGGATTCACCATGCTGAGCTCCATTCGCTTTACCTCTCTCCACGGGTCCCAATTCAGCAGTATTAATCTATGCCATTACACATAGCCCCACCCTAGGAATGTCTGCCTTATGAATGTCCCTTAATACAGCTTTCCAGTTGAACATGTCTAGAGAAAAGCCACAAAACTAGGGAGACCGAAAACACTATAAATTCATGAGTAGACAAAGACTCCAGCCTACAAGATTACTTCATTTCTGTGAGCTAAACTCATTCTCCTTCCGCATTGACTATTCATGCAATAGCCAAGTTCCTCTTGAGATCTCACCTTGCCCTTCCCCTTTTACCTCTGGCTAATGACCAGGTCTCTTATTTAATGGAGGAAAATGGAAACCAAGAAGAACTCCCTCCCCTTCTTATCATAAAAATCTGGATCTTTACTTACCTTCCTTTTTGTTTCTTTGAAGTATATCTTACAAAGAAAGGCAAACTCTGCATATAGATCCAATTCTTACCACCCCCCACCCCACCCCCCTACCCCGGTTCTAGTGAGAGTTTCCCTATTTTCAAACTCTTCCTCTACTTGGTTATTTTCACCAGTGCTCAACATTTCTATAACTCCCAAACAAAACCTTGCACAGTGATAGAATCAGTCGAAATCCATGCCAGCATAATGGTCATGGCCACACGTGGCTATTGGACATCTAAAATGACCAGTGCAATTTAAATTTAATTTAATTTTCATAAATTTAAAATGAGAGTCCTCTGTGGATGCTGCCCTGTTGAAAGCACAGCTCTGACAAATTTCACCCTGACCACGGCTCCCTCCAGATCCTTCCAGGTGCTACCTTCTACCTGCACCTAAGTGCTTTCCATTCATTCACTCGAACAGCTAACATCAGAGCTCTCTAATGTGGCAAATTCAATGATCTTTAGTACACACTTTATAAGACTTAGCAGCACAGACTTGTTCCTGTAGGTTACCCTTTCTTGAAAAAATTTTGTGCCTGCCACAATAATCTCTGGCTCCTCTTCCTCTCAGTGCTCTGGCTAATCTCCAGCTGGTATCTACATGGTGGAGTCCTTGGGGGTCATGGGCCTGAAGGCCCTTCTCTTTTTAATCTGTACTCTCTCCACAGGAATCACAACTATCCCCCTGGCTTTACATTTTATCTATATGTTGGCAGCTCTCAAATCTGTATTTCTAGCCTACTCCTCTTATAGGACATTGCCTACTGCTACTTAGCACTGAAGCCCTCTTATAGGGCACTGTGTGTTTAAAACAGAACTCTCAATTCCCTCCTCTGTCCCTAATTTGTTCTTTCTTTCCTACTTCAGTAAATGGGCCCTCCAAAATCAGAGTCGTCCTTGACACTTCCGCCTCTTACATCACCAGTATCTAATCTGTCACCCAGAGCCAATGCATTACCCGATTCAATCTGCCTGGAAGTCTAAAATAGATCAACTCACTTCTCTCCACCTCCATTATTATTAGCCTAGTCCCAGCCATCACAACTGCCTGCCTTGAATAACAGTGGTCTCTTAAATAGTCTACAGGTTTTAATTGTCAGTTCCCCACGCTACAAATTATTAACAAAAGGACAACAGCAATCCCTTTAAAATGACAAATTTGATATTACCATGTCTGTGTTACTGTCCTAACTCTTCAAAGACCGTCCGCCTCTCTTGGAATAAAATCCAAAATATAATGACCCACAAGGAGCTAACAAGGTATCACCCCACTTCATCCCACATCATGATGACTCCACACTCTCTCCTCCCTTCAGAGTACCAAACTCTTTATGCAGACCCCTACACACTGGTCCTATAGTTTGTCTTTTAGGTGTCTCTTGATGCCAACTATTTAAAAATAGTTCTCAAATCTCAGCCTTAGAAGAGGTTGTCTCTCACCCTTTCCAGTCAATCCCTGTGGCTGATACACATTCTCATAGCACTTGACAACACTTTTCACAATTACTATTGTCAAGTTATGTGGGTGGCAACCTTTTCTCCCAATAGACTATAATCTCCAGGAACCACATCTGTTTAGTTTACCATACACAGAATTCCCAGTGCCTCACAAAACATCTGTCAACCTCCACTGGCTGCTCAGACTCATCTCCCACTAAAGCAACTGTTCTTACTTCTCACTGCCTTCAATGAGTCAGCGTGAACGTGTGAATGTGTGGAGAGAAGGTGCAAGGTGTGGGGGTGGGGAGAGAGAGGCTACAATAAGAGTGGCCAAAGCGTGCTGGAGAGAGACAAATCCCTTAACAGCCAAACTGGAACTGAAAGTGAACTTCCTAATACAGTGGCAGGACCAAAGTTGGTTAGGTTCTACAGGAATGCTTATGTATACTTACTTACTGTGATGATTTCTAAACACTAGCTCTAGCACGTGAAACATACATCTCTAAATCTGGGCTCTATCTTTCTTACTTAAAGAAGCTTGGTGAAGTTGTTAAAATAAGGTGAATTTAAGATTTTTTTGTAAATATTAGTCCCATATGGAAATAGAGGTGTGGGTCAGGTAGACAGAGTGCCAGCCTTAAATGAAAACAATAAGCAAGAGTGCTAAGCCCTGATTTTAAGCCTTACAGGTGTGTGCCCACGCACACGTGTACACACTCACACACACTCACACATACATTAGTTCTATACTATTTAAGGTTTCAGTACATGTCTGGCATAGAGGAAACTTTCATATACTAGCTATTTTTATTAGTTATTATTTACTGTAATAAATTCCTAATGAATTTCTGTGTCTTCTTCTGGCAGCCTAACAGTTATTACTTCATTTTCAAGGAAGAATGGGTTTCTACTTTTAAAGAGACAACTTCAGAACCAGGGTTTAGAATACAGCCATCTAAATGGGGGTGGCTGTTTACACAGCACGGGGTGCCCACGGTTTTCAGGTGGTGGTCAAAGATGGCTTGCCGCACGTGCTTTTGATAAAGGGATTAAAAGGCTGTACTCCTGTTAAAATCAGACCTCCAGCATGGGGTATATAATTAACATAAACCTATATACCGTTTCTTTCCTCAACTAAGTTCTCATGGGGAGCAACAGTTCCCTATGAATAAATGGAATTGTATTTGGAGTAATTACACTTGGCACAGATTTGCCCAACTGCTGGTGGCACGGCTGCTGCGTGTGACCAGGCAGGGAGGGGAACGCAACAGAATTGATGGCAAACTGCTTTAATTTGCTTTCATACTAGCAAAAGCCTGTCTAAAATAAGTTGGGCATTTCAAGAATAATCACCACAGTTAAAGTTCTATTACCATTAAACCAGTATTCAAACAGGTCAGAAACTGGTTTTCAGCTCCTTTCAGTGAGTCTCTGCATCTTTTGGGTCTTAAATGTCATTTTGTAAAGTCAAGCTGGCAGTCCTCAGCAAGAGGCCTAGAAGTGCCAGTGTTAATTAAAAATGTCGTCTACTGTTTCCGTGTTCCTGTGGTGAGGTCTGGTTCTCCCCCATCCCACCCTTTCACCACCAATGGACATCCAGAAGCAATAGAGAGGAATAGGGAGTATCAACGAGGATTTTATTTTGCAATGGTTTTGAATGGCCAGGTAATGATACCACTGATGGTCATGGGTCCCTAACCAGGCTATATAAGCAAGCTGGGGAAGGGGAAGTTCTCCCTTTGTAATACATGTACCGTGGCTGGATGCCAAGAAAAACCCAGATAAAAGATAAGGACAGGCTTCCTTGGTCCTGAACTGGTGGCCTCTGTGAAGGGTTGACGAGAATCTGGAGTCACACACACAACAAAAACAAGTGCTTATGGGTTGATTACTGTTCAGAGATAACTACATATTACTACACGATTATGTGGTGTTATATAATGGCTGCACCTATATTTTAGAGCATGAAGTAGGCATTTTAGACTTATCTGCCTAACTGGATTGACATAAATCGTCAAATTCACTAAGGATGGCCAATAATCCAGTTTTGGGAAAGTAGTGATGCTCACAGTTATAATTTCAGGTTAAGGTGCGGAAAGCTGGTCTAGTTGTATAAACTGAGTACATTTAGTTAGCTAAATGTCACCACAACCAATTATAATGAAATAAAGCATAAGGGCTTTGGCTAAAGCTCTTTAATATAATGGTAAATCAATGATAACATTGATTTCTACCAAATAGCATCAGCTTCTACCACCTTTAGGTCTGGCAATGGCTCCAATATTTTGGTTGAAGGGAGAACTTCTTTTTAACATGTGAAACTCTTCCTATTTGCCATACTCAGAAGTATTGGACTTTAAGTCAAATGACCCCTCAGACCCTATCTTAGAAATGCACTGAAGGTTACTATCTTTTCTTGTATTAACATTGTACTGAATGTCAAGCATAACCTCTTCTTACAAAGTAAGTGGCAGGTATGGCTGCATATGCAAGATACTTTCTTAACAGTGGTTTTTATCATGACTACTTTTTTAAGTCTCTACAAATGCCAGTCACTGTTTCCTAATGCTCAGGTTGCAGGAAATGAGAGAGAAGTAATGGAATCTTCTATGAGGAGTCACACTGGAACAAACAGTAACAAATTAAGAGTCCTGGTTAAGGTATTTCATTTTGCCAAGCGTGCTAGTAGAAGAGGCTGGAGCACAGATATTAATATTGTAGAGCTGCCAATTTTTCTTCATTCTTTTCTTTCCCACTACCCTCCACACTTCCTCGCTCTGGTTTGAGTACCATTAATTAAGGAATAAACAGATATTTATATATGCCTCTCAAGTAAGTATAGAAAATGGTGAAGTAACAATGCCAACTTTCTTCAATGTTTATGCCACTGACAGACATCACTAATAAATCCTGATCCTCTCTCAGCCATAAGCTATTGTCAAAGTTCTGGAATCCTTCTTACCTAATGTTTCAGGGAGCCACCATAACTAACTGAAGTTGGTGCCTAAAACCAAATTTATTTGCAAGTAAACTCTCTCCTAGTGCTTTTGCTCTGGCACTGGGCTAGACTCTCTTGACTCTGCACTTCCTGTGGTTCTACAGTTTAGATCAGGGCTGAACATTTTGTGATGCTGACATTCATGAGGCCTGGCTCTGTCTCCAACAGCACTTTGCAGTATAAAACTCAAGGTTTCTGAAAGCAAGAAAGAGACCAGATAATGCCTCTTCCATACTCATTCCACATTCTCTGAAAGGAAATAAAAACCCATGAAATACTGTCCGGGCTTCACAATTTATTTCCTGGAAAAATAAGAAAGAGTGGGGTTCTATAAATGTTCAAGCCGTGGTCGTAACTAAAGCTGATGGGAGGTGGAGATTCAGTATTTAGGTTTTGAGGTGTGTGTTTAGAAGTTTCCTGACAGTCACCAGATTGCCTTCATGAGCACTTGAGAAGCACCTTCCCCATACTTTAGTATACTCGCTCATTTGGCTTCATGTTTAATTGAACCGTCTCTCCAGAAAGCTGGTAATGACTCCATCTCACATATCCAACCTTCATAATTTGGCTCTCCCAAAATCAGTGCAGGGCTTCCTGAGGTACATATTGCTGCCATCATGGGCCAAATGTGATTCTCACAGCTGCTGCTGAGCGTCCTCCTCCTTGGCAGGGGCAGGGGCAGGGGCAGGGTTGTGATCATGCTCCCAGGCCTATGCATTAGAAGCCTTCCCAGCATCAAGAGGTCCTGAAAGGCACCCAGCCTGGGCCAGGGGCCATGTTCTGTTCACCGTGATGACTAAGGGGTGCTTCAGAGAGCACTGTCTCCACACTTAATTGAGAGACCTTCCCAGATAAAGAAGCTAACCAAAATTCAGGGGATTGGCAAAATCTTGCCATTTTTTTCTTTCAAGAAATTATACCCAAAAGCTTTAAAAACTCATAGCATATTGAAATAGAGGTAGGTTCAATCATGAACCTAGCGTGGCTGCCTGAAAGAGAGACATGAGCCACAGAGACACAGAGCTAGGAGCGGAAAGAAAGGTGGTAATTTGCACAGAGCTCTGGAGAATATGCTGGTTGTGGCAGTTCTCATCAGCTTTATAAGGCGTTGAGAAGACTGGAGTGATTTTTCTGGGGTTCCAAGCTTTTAGAATTTTTTTGGGTGTGGGGGAGATCCACAGAGACCCCTTTTCCCACAATTACCTTCACTTAAAAGAAAACACAGCTGCTGTTCTGCATATTCAGATGCAACATGGATTTGTGAGATTTCAGCCTAAAAGATCTACCATAGTAGATTAAAGTTTTTTTTTTAAACACATACAACAACAACAAAACAGAGGCAAAGTGACTATTCTTCTTGGGGACAAATGTCTTATTGAGCAAGAAGCTATAGGTACTATTTTTCAGAAGAGCTGCCTGCTACTACTTGGAGTGATTGCAGATATTCAGGAGCCAGAATTTCTGGCTCCTCCCACCTCTGGGGTTTGTGTGGTAGAGTGAGCTGGTGGTACATGTGCCCTGAGGCTAAATTAGTGTGTAATTACTGGACTGCTGTCACCTTGGGATAACTGAACCATCCTGTCCATTACTAGCTCTGCATTGCTGGCTACTGTTAAGAGGAAACCTTGGGAGAAATGTGCTAACTCAAGCAAAAGCAAGGGAGTCACTCACTCTTTTGAGTGGATGCTGTATTGCTCAGAGGGCCTGGCCCATGCAAAATGTGGAATAGTGCCAGAGAGGACAATGAACCTAATTAGAGTTAGTTAGTATTTGTTACAGTTACAATCGCAAGTAATAACACTCCTGCCTACTGTGCTGTTTTATGTGATGTCTTCTTCATGTGACCATCTTTTCATAAATCAACGCAAAAGCCAATACCAGACAGTTTCTTATACAGCTTGCCTGATAATAAAAGTTAACACTGACCTTAGCTGTTATCAATCTTCATAAATGTGTCCACAATGTGGCAAGAGTGCTTCATGTTACAGAGGGGCTGTCACTAATGAATGCAAGGGAGTGACCCACTGCGTTAATAGGACTTGACAATCAGTGCAGTTTTAATTGAGCCAGGAAAAAGGAATGATGCAAAAGTAGACATGAGTTTTCCCCTCTATTCCTCAGTCCCCTCAGTATCTTGGCTCAGAAAATGCCTCTAATCATGTTTAATATAGACCCACAGAGCAGACAATAGAGATCTCATGGGGAATGGAGGTAGGTAGGTTTCTAGAAAAAGAAGACTTTGTTATACAGTATTTAATTGGCATTCTTGGTAGAGAACTCCCAGACTTGAAGATAGATACGATGTTTCCAGGTTCAACTAGAAAATACTAATGAGTCATACTTTGGTTTTCAAAAAATATAAATCTATCTACATTAACAGAAGTGAAAAGCAGTCTTCAAACATAGCAGAAAAATTCAAATACCAATAAGTTTTCCTTAAGAAAAATTCACAGAAGATCTTGTTCTCTTTCTAAATACCGTATTGATACTGTCAAAAGGAAAACCCAGTTCTATCTAGCATGTCTTAGAGATGAACTCTGGCAATTAGCTAATGTCCACAAAAATCAACTCTGTATTAATGGCATGTAATGAACCATCAACAGCTAGTTAAATCAAACCATTACATTGGACACAGCTTAATGGCATCACCCTAATTTGCTGAGTGAATTCATTTCAACATGTATTTTTCAAAGGCAGTAAACTCACTAATTGTGGGGAAGATGCAGAAAGAGAACCAAATTCCTGCCTGCAGGAAGGTTCCAGTTCAATTGGGAATGAGATTCACTATTTGCTGTAACTAGAGAGAAGATCTTGGTCCTTCAAGTTCTCAACAGTCATTCTTTCTTAGCTCTTTAGAGTATTTTTTGTTCTGTTTTGTTTTTAAGGGCTGCTGATATAGTGAAAACATTCTGAGAGCTGAAAGTAAGATGCTGGACTTACGAGTTCAGTTCAGCTTAGGGAAGAACAATTCGGATATTAATTGAGCATCTATTAGAGTGCTCCGCTTATCAGAGCTCAGGTCCAGCTCATGTATACAGGGCAAACGAGAAGAGACTGGGCACAAGTAATCGTGAAACAAATTAATAAGGGTTTGAATTTCACAAACACAAAGGAGAGATTACTGTGTCTTTTCAGTGGGAATAAAATGAACATGGGAAGCAGGCCCTGGCAGACGAAGTTCACCAGCAGAGAAACAGAAAGGTGGGTGGGGCTCTGAATACAGGGACTCAGATGTATGTAGCACCAGGAGGAAAAAGCTCCGGACAGGCTGGATGTGGGCTGGTGAGTGAGCTGAAGTACAGGAGGCAGGAGGGCTGCAGAAGTGCCGGAGGCTCTTTTCACATTGTACTCCATAGCGTGGCCTACTATCAGAAGTTTGGGGCATTTGTCTGAACTTCTATATTATGATTTATTAGATACTGTCAATTATTCTGCTTTGAAGCAGGAACTTGGTGTGTTTTTAATCATATAGATCAGACTGATGGTTGAGTATCTTGTGATTGCCAAGACAAGCTGTTAAAAAAAAAAAGAAAAAAAAAACCCTCAGCATTTGCCACTATTTATACCACTGCACAGAAGGGTCATCACAGCTGCAACTGATTACATAAATATGTGCTGCGGCTGAAGTAAGACTGCAGCTTTTACCTCTAGCCCTTAACCACCAAATGCTGTATTCATGAAAGGAAGTTTCATTGTCTTCTTTATAGTTAAGGAAAGGCTGTAGGTCCATTTAGAAACTACAGTTAAAGTGATAAAATAGCATCTTATCAATTATAGGTAGGTACTAGGAAGTCTATATTTGCTTTCATTTGACAATAAGGATTCCACTAACTGCTACATAGTCCACCAACAGCTAAGTAACAATATTTGCAACGTTGGTGGAGGGGAGGTAGAGGGGTGGGAGACAGGGAGAAGGCCAATATCCTGAGGTTTTCTAGTGCTTCTTCACAAAAAGGGGGCTGTACCTATAATTGAGTTAGCACAGACTACTAAGCAGTGTACACACGCACACACGCGCGCGCACACACACACACCCCTCTTATTTCTTTTTCTCTTTGGTTCTTCATTGTCT